ATTTTGCTTAATTGTCTCTCATCATGATTTCAGGTTCATGGCATATTGAAGGATCTGGCTCAGAAATCCATCAACGAGACTACGGTAAGTTCATTACCTTGTATTCATGAAATATTTTGTCAGCATTGCTTATCATTCCTTATTTGTCCCTAAACATGACTAATCTTTTCTCTTAATTTATGGTTCTTCTTTGGTATGTAGGAACTGAAGCAGTATCCCACTTTAAGAGTAGAAGTTGCGAATGCAGCATTTGAGTCGCTGGAAAGGATGAAAGAAGAAAGCAAGAGAGCAACTCTACAGCTAGTAGATATGGAATGTGGTTACCTAACAGTTGACTTTTTCCGCAAGCTTCCTCAGGATATTGACAAGGGTGGAAATCCGACACACTCACTCTTCGATAGATACAATGATGCTTACCTCCGGCGGGTTGGTGAGTTGCTTTCTAACTCTAAATACCTCTATAATCATATCCAAGATTTGAATCACTTAAGAAGAACTGGGAGATACAATTTTAAAACGATACATATTAATGGCCCGTTTGACAACCATTTCATTCTACCATCACTTCATCATTAGATTTATCAGGTTATGTGGTTGCATTGATGATCACGGTCTTTTTTGTGTTTGAAACAAACAGGACACAATGTGTTAAGCTATGTCAACATGGTTTGTTCAAGTTTAAGGATCGCTATTCCAAAGTCCATCGTCTACTGTCAAGTACGAGAGGCCAAACGCTGCTTGCTCGATCATTTCTTCGCAGAGTTGGGTGCAAAGGAGGTGAGGATTGTTCCCTACAAGCGTGAAATTTTACAAAAAGCATTGAAAAGAACAAAGAAACTAAGCTAAGTTGAATTAGAATTATACTAATAAGATTTTCAAAACTATTTACTTTTCGTTGCAGACAAGACAGTTGGCTAAATTGCTGGACGAGGATCCGGCGGTAATGCAGAGGCGTACATTGCTTGCAAAGAGGCTAGAGTTGTACAGAAGTGCCCAGTCAGAGATTGAAGCAGTTGCTTGGTCCAAGTAGGAAGAGAGAGAAAGAGGAGAGGTGAATAATTTCTTTGTTAAGAGTTAGAATTTAGTAATTAGGATGGCAGGAATTCTTTTGATTCATGATTAGTTACTAATTCTTTTTTCATTAATTACCATGAGGAGTGAAAAAAAGAGCGATTAGCTTTTAGCTTTGTTACCTTTGCTTCGTGGCTTAGGTAATTTCTGTCATCACCTTAATGACGCCCATTCTAATTATATTGGGTTAACTTTCTTGTTAAGAAAGAGCTTATTAAAGGTTTCTTATCATTTTCTATATATTCAGCGATACAGTTTAGACAATTTTCTGCAATTAAAGTTAAGTTAGACAAACTTAATTACATACGAAAAATTATCAAGTCAGATACAAGAGTATCGTAATTATGTCCTAAATATGCAAACTTGTCTGTGGTCGTATTAATTTCTCGATAAAAGAGAATTAAAGGGCTTCATGAGTACCGTGAATTTTTGAAGTGCGAATAACAGCACTCATGTAAAATGCTTGTACTATTTCATTTTCTCCTTTTAGATTCAACTGCACAAAAGGGTCTGAAGGGGAGTTCACATAGCATAGGAGGGGTCTCAAGAGGAATTCGAGCATTGCTCGAGAGGCTTTGTCGAGAGTATAAATCTTTTGCTTATAAGAAGTTGTGTTACTCTCCAAATTGTCAATTGGTTATGGTGGAACTTTAACTTATTGCATGATCTGCACGTTTCTCCATGCCACTTAATTTTTGTTGTCCGCATGTTATACTTGAAAATTCACCACATGCGAGCAAGTGTATTGAGAGTATGAATGTCTTGCATGCGCTTACAAGAGTTGGGGTACTTCTCATATTGTCAATTGATTTTATGACGGAATTCCAACTTGCTTCAACTCCAACACTGCTCAAGGGAGAAACCTGTTGCGCAACTAAAATGGGAATTTGAGATGAAAGATCCTGGGAAAACTCAACGCTGTCTTGGTTTGGAGATAGAGCATTGTTCGAATGGTATTCAGGTCCATCAATTGGATTACACCAAAAAGGTGTTGCGACTGTAAATGCAAAATGAGAACAATTTCGTCCTAAAAATGAGGATGAAAAGGTCTTGGAACCCGAAGTTCCATACTTAAAGTGCAATAAAAGATTTATTGTACTTGGCTTAATGCACTAAACTGGAAATCTCCTTTGGGTGAATCTTTTGGCAAGATACAATAGTGCGGCTATACACAAACACTAGATAGGTGTTAATGACATCATGCATTACCTTACTGGTACAATGGATATAGACTTATTATGTCCCTACACATCACCAAGCGGATCAAACCCTCCTAATCCTTGGAATAATATCCGCCTTGTTGGTTATATATTGATGTTGGTTATATATTTGACCCGCACAAGGCTCTTCCTCAAACGAGTTATGTCTGTAGCATTGGATGTACTACAATATCTTAGAGATCAATCAAACAACAGTTGGTTGCTACATCTTTAAATCACGCCGAGATTCTAGCCCTACACGAAGCATCGCGTGAATGTTTCTATATGAGGGGCCTGATTGATCACATAAGAACCTTATGCGATTTTTCTTCCATTGTTGATGTTCCAACAACAATTCATGAAGACAACGTTGCAGGTATTGACCAATTAAAGAAAGGATACATCAAAGGCGGCAATACCGAGCATATTGCCCTGAAGTTTTTCTTCACTCATTAACAACAAGAGCATCAGAAGATCGAAGTCAAGAAGATCCAATCCAAGGACAACCTTGTTAACCTATTCACGAAGTCACTGTCAAAGTCTACTTTTCATAAACTTGTTCAAGGAATTGGATTGCGTAAGCTTTCAGATTTGCATCACCGGTAGCTCTCTTGGGGAGCTTTATTGAACTTTGGGGGAGTTCCTAAAGCATACTCACATGACCTTATAACACTCTTTTCCCTACGAACAAGAGCATTTTTTCTATTGAGTTTTTGCCATCTTGATGAGGTTTTGACAAGGCACCTACTTTGGGTTGGACATATGCATGTGTTTGCTGATGATCATCTTCGAAATGTGAGACAACATCTTGCATTAACTCAAGTGGAGTGTTATTCATGAAGACTTGATGCGAATATTTCTTAAGTTGTACACACTCAAGGGAGAGTGTTGTGAATAATATTATTAATCAAGAATGTAATTGGGTAAACTTAAAAGTAGAATCCCAATAGGATTTGGAGATCAAATCCTCATACGCTTTGTATTAAATGTAAGGCAAGTAAGCCCATCATGATTAATATAAATAATATCCGCCTTGTTGGTTATATATTAACGTTGGTTATATATTTGACCCGCACAAGGCTCTTCCTCAAACAAGTTATGTCTGTAGCATTGGATGTACTACAATATCTTAGAGATCAATCAAATAATAGTTGGTTGCTACGTCTTTAAATCACGCTGAGATTCTAGCCCTACACGAAGCATCACGTGAATGTTTCTAGTTGAGGGGCATGATTGATCACATAAGAACCTCATGTGGTTTTTCTTCCATTGTTGATGTTCCAACAACAATTCATGAAGACAACGTTGCAAGTATACATCAAAGGTGGCAATACCGAGCATATTGCCCTGATGTTTTTCTTCACTCATTAACAACAAGAGCATTAGAAGTTCGAAGTCAAGAAGATCTGATCCAAGGACAACCTTGTTAACCTATTCACAAAGTCACTACCAAAGTCTACTTTTCAGAAACTTGTTCAAGGAATTGGATTGCGTAAGCTTTCAGATTTGCATCATTGTTAGCTCTCTTGGGGAGTTTTATTTAACTTTGGGGGAGTTCCTAAAGCATACTCACATGACCTTATAGCACTCTTTTCCCTAACAGGAACTTTTTTTCTACTGAGTTTTTGCTGTCCTGATGAGGTTTTGACAAGGCACCTACTTTGGGTTGGTCGTACGCATGTGTTTGCTGATGATCATCTTCGAAATGTGAGATAACGACATCTTGCATTAACTCAAGGGGAGTGTTATTCATGAAGACTTGATGCGACTACTTCTTAAGTTGTACACACTCAAGGGAGAGTGTTGTGAATAATATTATTAATTAAGAATGTAATTGTGTAAACCTAAAGTAGAATCCCAATAGGATTTGGAGATCAAATCCTCATATGCCCATCATGATTAATATAAATAACGATACAAGGCCTTGAGGTGAACATAAAATTCTCATACACCTGAGCCTTTCTCTCTTCGTGTTGTCCCCTCTCTCTCTCACCCAATTTCATATATAATTTAGTTTACAACATTTAAAAGTTATATTGTAATTGTTTCATTTCAATGATATTATATAACTCATTCTTTCTTTTCTTTTCTTTTTTTCAAAAAAAAACCCATAAAAATGTGATTTATAAAGGTTGTGAATCAAATCTCAAAAACGACATTTGTTGATTAATACAAAAAAAATAAAAATTAATGAGACTTTGCTCTACTTCATTTCCTCCTTCACCGTTGGAAGGTTTCTACACAATAATTAAACATATTGATCCGAGTAAGTTCACAATAAGTTTTTAGTGTGTACCAAAAAGTAAAAACAGGGAATTGGATCCTTTCAAAGGCAAATCCTCGGAATCCTCTTGACCCAATAATACGGACTGTTGGATTTTGATCCAACAGTTACAAACAGAGAACCTCTCTAAAAATTATAATAATTGTAGCCGTTGGATCAAAATTCAATGACATGTGTTAGAGGGTCAGGAGGATCCTGAGGCTTTGCCTTGGAGAGGATCCAATTCCCAAAAACAGAAGCATCTAGTCAAACTATGAGTTTCCCAATTATAGACAAATGATTTTCCCGCATATTTTGCTCTAGGATTTTCCGGCATTAACACGGTTTGACTACGGACGTATGATCACCGCGTCAATAACCAGCTCCAATCATGCTTCATTGCTCCTGAGCTTCTCCTCTTTATATTTATATCGTCACCAACAAAACGAAAACCAAACAAACAAAAGAAAAGACAAGTACATACATCAACTGTAGAACACAAACAAATCCAGGGCTACAATAAACGATTTAATTCTTGTCCTGAACCTGAACAAAACCACGTTCTAACGCCCCGGTTCTAACTGTTTTTATTCATCTTCTATTTTCTGTGGTTAGTGCGAAGTTTGGAAGAAACAAGTTATAATACTCAATCATGGGGACTATGAGGATGATGGAATGGTCTGCAGAATCTGCTTTAAAAGCTTATTTTGATACCCTAAAACTGGTATGCACGTTTCCTGCTCCCTCTTTCTTTCTTTGTAAATTTCTCTGTTTTGTGTTTTCCTCCAATTTGTTTAAGAGTATTAGAACCAATGATTGATTCTACTGGTCTTTTGGGTTTCTTGGTTCATATTTTTTGGAAATGGGTGTAACTATGAAAAACCATTTGTGTTTCTTAGGGTTTTGTTGTCTTTAAATATCACTACAGAAATGGGACTTAAAATCGTATGAGACGTTTGACCATTTTTCTTTTCTTTTGGTAAAGCGATAGATTTTGCATGTTAAATTCTCTGCTAAAATGTTACTTTATCAATTGTCTACATTGACGGTTTGACTTGCTTTAGTGAAACGATATATTTTGCATGTTACATCTTCAAACTGCTAAAAGGTTACTTCATCAATTGTCTAGACTGATAGTTTGACATGCAACATGTGGCGAAGTCAAATGAAACAACATTTTTCATACATACTGCCCTCATTTTTCAATTTTGTACCTTTTTTCTTGTGTTATTCAAAGGCTTAATGAAGAATGTAAGTCAATGTTTCCAATGTGCTAACTCCAATTCGTATTCATTTCTGCAGTGCAATGACCGTGGGGGACAATGTGTCTCGTGGAAAACACAAGAGCCAGGCAGCAATGAATTTGTTTCAGCCTTGGCTGCCGGCATGAAAGCCAAACTCATAGTGGAGGTGACCTCAACTGTTTCGCCATCAACGATAGCCTTAGCAGTTGCTGCAAAACACACAGGAGGAAAACTGGTTTGCATTCTTCCCGAGCCAGTCCTCAATGAATCAAAGAAAGTAATCAGAGACTTAGGCCTTAAAGACTTGGTGGAGTTCAAGACCAGTGACCCTTCTGAGCTGTTGTCGAATTACAAGAACATTGATTTCTCTATGGTTGATTGCAAGAATGATGATTACACAAGGCTGCTGAAGTTGCTAGATGTTAACCCTAGAAAATCAGTGGTTGTGGCTAATAACTTGGTTGGTGAAAGAAAAGGGTTGGAAGGGCATTTGGGAGTGACGGAAAAGTGGGCTCCGGTGAGGTCTACAAAGAATTCCATCGGGAAAGGAATGGAGGTCACCATGATTGGGAAGAACACTGAGGTTGGCAAGGGATATTGGCGTGGAGGAAGTAAGAGGAGGAGTGGTAAGAGTAAATGGGTTGTCAAGGTTGATGAGAAGAGTGGTGAGGACCATATCTTTAGGGTGCCTGGCTAACGGCTAAATCACTTTTCATGTTTTCTTTCGCTATCAAACTTGCAAAGGGGAGATGAATGATGAGGATATCTTTTTAATTTATACGTGAACTCTTCAAACAAATCTGTGCAGTGATCAGTGATATCAAGGTTAAAAATGTCACTGTATCTAAGGATGGAGTTAGAAACTTTCTTTAGTGGGGGCGACCTTAACCTCTAGTTCGACTAGAGGAAAAAAAAAATTCACGATAGTAGAGTTTCTTCTATAATTTCATTGCTTTTCTTTTTCTTCTCAAATTTCATTAAGCCAACTTGTAGACATTTTTTCATAATAATATCTTTCTGTACATATTATTTAAAATTTCAACTAATCACTTAAGGTACTTAAAAACGATAAATTCAAATTCTGTAAGCCCCGTGATTGTTTTTCCTCTACACAAAATTTCAATGTAGGCAGCTGCCCCCAGTGGGCCCTAGCGGCCTGTCCTTGATTGCATCCCATCATGAATGAGCAGGGTGGAGACATTGGATGTGTTCATTCATGGCTGATACTGCGGTGCACCCCCTCAATTGTTGCCTCAGTGTGCAGGTTCTAGCAAGGAACTTTGCATTTGAAAGCTGCCTGAAATTTATGGGAGAATCTTAGTCATCTCGGTTCTATATCTCTTCACGTATTAAGGGAGATAACAAAGGATATATAATCGGTTACAGGGCCGCTACCTGACCATGAAAAAGTAACTATTATTTGTCATCATGTAGCAAAAAAGAGCCCAAGAGATCTAGCCATTAAGTTGTTGACTTTACTTTTTGTATGAAGCCTCTAATTCTTTGCATTGCTTAAAAGCTCATCAATAATCATTGCACATCAAGTGAACTTCTTTACCCGCTTTGCACTTATGGTGTAGATGTGCCTGTTACATTTGGTTTAGGGCGTGAGATGTTTTTGAATGCAATTATAGGCCCTTAATTATGGTATCTTGTCACACACAAGAAGTCGACTTCAAAGTTTCATCTCATTCATATCCAACTATCATATATGGATTACAAATTCTCATATACGATTTTGTCTAACATCTAAGTAATAAAATTGTATTTTTTTAATTACATTGGAGGCAATCGAATATTTGATCATCCTAATTTTAACCCACTATTCCGCTCGCTCTCGGTGCTTGTTATAACTTCTACAGTAAACAAAATGGTACCTTTTTTTTTTTGTTACATTAGAGGGTTCCGAGACTCCTAAACTTAGTATACTCCTACGATCATCACCCTTCCCAACCTCACTACTGGACCTACCCTAGTGGCTTAACATACTATTTGCAATATAATGACATATTATTTGCAATATAATGACATACTATTTGCAATATAATGAAGTCCCGCCCAACAAAATATTATTGTGTGTGTGCGTGTGGGGTGGTGGTGGGGGTTGTTTAGTTTGCAAGAATTGGAAGAAATGGTTATTACTAAGATATATAATATCTTAAAATTTTCGTTAGAATTAAACCACTGTAAACACTTCACATCTGCCAACACCAACCAGCATCCCCACCACCACCAACCACTTTCCATTTTCCTTCAAACCCAAGAGACTAAAACCTGCCAACCTCCTGAATGCGCCTTCTCTTTCACAATTTACATCGTCCATGGTATTGTCACTGCCTGTTCTAGCCTTGGATCGCATTCCTAGTTCTTGGTCTTTCCAATGGCGAGCTTGGGGTCTTGGCCGGTTTTTGCTTCGAGGTTTGCTTTCAGGCTATGTATTCTGATCCTTGTCTTGGAGGCCAAGTTTGATGTTATGGCTGCTGATGGCAGTTATGTTCCGGGGGTTAATAGCGCTGGTGGCGGCAATGATGCATCGCAGCTTTGTGACAATGATCTGAGCAGTTTTATGCTACCACCATATAGTAATTCATCATCTGATCTAGTCTGCAGACCTATTTGGAACACTTTTGTTTTGAGAGTAAGTTTGTCCTCAATCTTGATTTCATTGTTAAGTTGGTTCTATAGAGATCATAATTTATGCACGCCTGCTCTCTTTCTGCACACTCCTGTTCATTTTTGTCCTTCGATTCTTATTTAATTTATTCAATACAAATGTTAGAATAAACAAAGGTGCACAGGAAGGAAAGACTTGTGCGGAAATCATTATACTTTTCTAAACTACATTTGCAAACGTATAATTAAATCAAGCTAGCTATTTCTTTCATTTTTTTGGTTGTTGCAGTACTCTCAGACAGAAGATCACGTCGTGAACATTATATTATCCGCTGTATACACAACAGGATGGGTAGGAATAGGATTTTCCAAAGATGGAATGATGGTTGGTTCAAGTGCAATAGTGGGATGGATTAACAAAAAAGGCGAAGCAAGAATTAAGCAATACTATTTGCAAGGCTCCAAGGTGTCACTAGTTATCCCAGATAAAGGTGAATTGCCACTCACTGGCATTCCTGCTTCTGTTGTGCTTCATGGACCTAGAATTTACTTGGCTTTTCAGATGAAATTCCAAGCTCATCTTGCTCGTCAGCCAATCATCTTGGCTATCGGAAGCGGTTACCCCAAGCACCACCACCTAACCATACACAACGATAAAACAACCGTCATGTTCGATTTCTCTGCAGGCTCCGCATCTGCGCTAGAGGCACCTAGTCATCTTGGGAAAATGAAGAAGAACCATGGAATATTGGCTATATTTGGATGGGGTCTAATAATTCCTATTGGGGCAATTGTGCCAAGATACTTGAAGCACAAGGAACCTTTGTGGTACTATCTCCATTCAATTATTCAATTTGTTGGATTTGTGATTGGGCTTGCAGCTGTGGTAGTTGGCCAGAAACTCTATACTAAAATAGGAGCCAACTTTCCAACGCATAGAGGCATCGGGATTTTTGTTCTTGTACTTAGCATCCTTCAGGTTTGTCCCTCACCACTAAATCTATTACATACGATTTAGACGCACAAAACTAGCACACATGTTGACACATTCTCCTACAAAAGGGGGGGTCCTATCATTGCACGTGAATTGACCCAAAAAAAATATCATTCCACGTGGGACCCTTATGTTTTAGAAAATATGTCAACAAATGTATCAAGTTTGTGTATCTAAGTAGCACTATAATCAATTCATTACGCGTTAAAAATATTTCATGTTCCACAAAGGAATTGTAATTTGATATTTCTGAGTTTCTGATTAGAGGTAAATTTCAGATATTGGCATTTTTCCTAAGGCCCAACAAGGATGCCAAGAACATTAGAAAGTACTGGAATTGGTACCACCACTGGCTTGGAAGGTTTGCACTCTTCTTTGCAGCCGTGAACATAGTTCTGGGGATCAAGATTGGAGGTGAAGGAAATGACTGGAAGATTGGTTACGGATTTCTTCTCGGCGTAATTCTTGTCTCAGTAATTCTGTTAGAAGTATTGGCAAGGATGAGAAGAACAGAGAAGGATGATATTACTCCAAACTTCCAAATGAATCCAGTCCAATTATAGGCAGCGAGAAAGATTCAAGTTCTCTAAGTCTCTAAGAGGTTTCTCTCTCGTTTTTCTTCCTTTTCTTTTCTTCGTTTTTGTAATGCATGATATCACAGTGAGTAAAATACAGAATGAAAAAAAAAAAAAAAATTTGTATGAAATAGCTACGTGTATTTTTTGACATATATGAATGACAAATACATGTATAATATGTATGTACAATTGAGGTGCATAGTAAAAGCTAAAAGAAAAGTCGGAAGTGTTTTTCAGCATGATCCACTATCAATATCACCAATATTATCCTAACTTAACCACATATTACTAGCTGTTGGGTTTTATCGTAAAAAGTTTCGATGATATTAAAAGTGGAAACGCTTCATATATTAATTGAATATTATTTTGTCATATGACCAATATGCGATCATCTTCTCAAACATCTGTAAAGTATATTGTTGCCCTAGAATAAGAACGATCTACTTTTTTATCACATCTACCTAATATTATGATCTGATTCACATTGGTATGCATGAAAACATCAATATGAGAAAGGCAATATTGGGCGTTTGCGACCTAAACTCTAAGCCATAACATAAGCGATTAATGTGATGTAATTATTGACTTATAAGTTTGAGGTCTTAGCTAAGGTGCAACCTACAGGAACTAGGTTTCGGAATTGGAAATATTACATTTCCTACTTTTGGTAAATTTTTATATTTATTTATGAAGGATTTTTTTTTTACTTTTTAAGTACTTTATTATAAGCATAAACTCGTCTTTAAGGAGTGAACTGAACATGAATTAAAATTTCAATGAGTGTTCATGTAATTTCTCAAACTTGAGGGAATTTTGTGTTAGCGTAATTAGATACCAGTTTTATTTTTTTACAAGTAAAAATATCTCTCATGTGAATTACATGAGAAAGAAGTCACTCAAACATCCAAAAAAAAAGTATGAAATGTGGCTATATAATGAAATGGCTTTGATATTTTGCAGCAAAAGTATTGATGTTTCCTATCATACCTTACAGTTTTATTGTATTTTGATTTAAGGTGTTGGAGTAAACTAATTTAATAGGATACAGCCGGATAGCTTTATTTTTCATAGATACTAGCCTCTTACCACACGCGCACACGTGTATCAATTGGCTCTTTTGATTATTATTTTTTTTAAAAAATTATAATAAAGTTAGTTATGGGAGAGGTTTTTTTTTGTAAATTTCTTATTTTATTTGAAAATTTAATGGGAGAGGGCAATTTTGGGATTTTGAATTTTTCACCATTTTAGGGCTCGTGGTACCAAGTTGATTGGAAGATAGCTTCGTGATTTAGTCCGTTAGCAAACTTAATCTAAAAGTGATTTTTTCGTTTATTGTCCCTTAAATGGAGGGTAAAAATATACTTTGACGTGTGCACCTTCTCCTTCTTGTCTATGTGTTTCACAATGTCACCATTGAACAACCAATTTACTCCGAGAAACCCAAAGACGTCTTTCTCCCAGCTCGCTCAATTTGTCTCCGACACTCCTCCTGCTCTCGTAAAAAATTAATATAGATTCCACACAAAAAAACATAAAAACAGACTTTCCACTCTCTACTGAAACACTTCAAACCCTACTCTAAAACCAAGTTTCCCACTCCTTTTCCTTATGAGAGAGAAAATGCTATGCAACCCTATGAACTTACAATTGTACTCTTCTCAGAGATCAAATCGTTACACCCAGAAAATGTCATCAAAATAATGGGCTATCTTCTCATTCAAGATATTGCTGAGAAGGATTTGATTCGCTTAGTGTATGGTCCGGAGACTAAAATCCAGTTGGTACTTTCGTCAAACAAATCGTCTGCATATTCGACTCCCACAGTGCTAAATCCCATAACCAATCATAGGCACTCTCAATGACGAAGCGGCACTCTCAATGACGAAGCAATGTCGGAAGTTCAAAGGTGGTGCCTAGAAATGCGCAAAGACAAGGAAGAAGAAGGTGCATATGTCAAAACAAAATCCCATATAGTATAAAATAAGCTTTTGATCAGCTCACTTTGAAGAGAGTTTAATGTACCCATATTTACACTCAGTTTGTTCATATTCAAAAATATTTAGATTTAAAATTTAATTAATTTTTAGTGTTTAAATCCGAATTATAAAAAACTTTGAACCGAAAAGATAACACAAACAATAACATCAATCTTTCCAGAGAAAAGATTTGTTGACTGAATTGAATCAAACAAGGCATGGTGAAAAAATTATATTGAAAAATAAAATAAAATATCTGAACCTACATTATTGTAAAAACAACAATATATCAAATGTTAATAAAGTTAATACTCATCTAAAATTAGATAAAGAAATGAAGAAAAAGAAATAATAATTAGGTCATATACAATTTATCCAAATTAAAAATCAAAATCCCATTTATTGTAACCAAAATAAGAACTGGTATCAGTTTTGAATGCTGTGGTCCGATAATCCAAAAATAACAAAATTTCTCATATGTGATGAACCAAAATTGTGACCCCATAAAAACCCTTCCCACACAAGTCGCAAAACATAAGCTTCCTACTGCAAACCTGCACATCCACAGTTTCACAAATGTATATACGTTAAGTGAGAAGACAAGCTTACCTTGCCTACAAAATACTAACAAGACAAGACGAAAAGGAAATACGAACAAATGGAACCGGTTATGAACTTTTAACCAAAAAATAGAACTGGAAGCACACTCGATAGACAATAAAGAGGCACTAAACCATGTTATATATACGGCATATCGTCTAGTTTAGTGTTTCCCAAGTTCTATTTTTATTAAAAGGTCGTATCTATATATGCATATTTCATGAAGAAAGAACTATAAATTGTTAGAAGAACGTATAGCCAGACCTCTAACCTGAATTCATTTTTTGAGGAACTTGTAAGCAGAAACTAACGTGCTTTGTTAACAAAAGAGCCACAAAAGATCAAGTGATTCTTGTCAAGAATCCAGCTTTTTTCTAGAAAATCCGGCTGCCCTGATCGGTAGCAAAAGCAAATTGGCGTTAAGTAGCAGTAGCTGTGCAATTTTCACTTGATGAACAGCTGGTAGCTTTGGTAGCATCATTCCCTCTGACTACTCTGTTACATATGACTTTGAAGGACTGTGAGCCATACGGTCGACTGAGCAAACTGATAGGCATTCGCAGAGTCTGCTTTCGGTTTCTCCTACCCCTCATCAAAATGCTGAAGGTTTTCTCTCCATCGTTTGTTCGTTCACCGCTACTTGCAGCATTTCCATTTGGGTTGTCAGTTGGTTCGCTCTGAGCATGTTCAACCCTGCAAAGGTTTGAAGGACCATTTTCCTTTACACTTTCAACTGCATTGCTCATTGCCTCTGACGTCAGAAGGTTCACTTCTTGCTTAGTTTCCTCCAAATTGTCAATGTTCGCTGGCAGAACTGGAGCAGAATCATCATTGTGAAATTTTGGCTCCACTGTCGGTTCAGAAATTGGCTCAGCAACAGGTGTAGGGGCAGAGAAATCCATTGGATGACAGCCAGGCCAAACTGGACTATGAACAAACTCGGGAACATGGGGGTTCACATTATGCCATGCAAAATGATTTGGATGAAACCCGCTGGTAGTAACGGGAAAGGCACCGGTTCGGATTACTTGGGGTTGACTGTAAGGAGGGTACATAAAAGGCAATGGTTGTATGATGTTTGGGGTCGCAGGAGGAGAATGGTATGGGTGGTGAGGGGAGGAGCACATTGGATTGACCGTGGGTAAGACAGTACCAGGCCCTGGATGAAGATTCATGTTTACTGGCCAAGGTGCAACAGTTGGGACATTACCCGCACCCGAAGGTATGGCAATGTTCAGGGAAACCGGAGCAGCACGTGCAGCAGATGGTGAGGGATTGAATGGAGCTGCTGAGGCAGACAGCTTCTTACTGGGCAGTCCCCGAGTATCAACTGAACTCACAGCATCGTCTACACCTTGCATGGTAGAGTTGGAGTCATGCAGTTCACAAGTACCAGATGGATCCGTCTCACAGATTCCCTTGGGAGAACCCAAAGATTTTGGCACTCCGTCTGTCAATAAGTTATCTTCTACCACTTCATCAATCTTAACACCGCTGGATCCGTGTCCATCCAAACTCTCAAATACCATCAGTGAAGACTTATCTTCCTTTGCATCGTTTGAAATAACTTCTCCCTTCTTCTCAGCAGCTCCGGTTTCCTCTGGTATGTGGTCTGTCGTAACCAATACAGAGTCCAACACAGAGTCCTTTTCTTCAAGTACATTTCCCAAGTCAGTTGTGTTTGGTTTGGAATCTCCTTTGACTTCAGTTGTTTCTTCTTCATGAACTCGGACACCATGTTCCTGATTATCAGGAATGTTGTACTGGGTTTGAAATTTCCCAATAGTACCTGGTGGAGCCAATGCTACTTCCTTGTAAGAAGGAGACTTCCCAAGACTGACTAAGGAATTTTTTACTGGGCCAATTCCATGTGGTGAAGCGTTTTGACTAGGTTCTGATGGAGAACTCAAACTTTTGCCACCGTTAGAGGGCTCTTCGATATCTACTTTGGTAGACGAAGGCATAGACTTGACTCTGTATGTTACACCTTTAACTATTCTCCGTCCAAACTTAGTACCTTGGGAGGGTTTTGCAGTGTGATTGTCTGCATAACTTCCGTGAGATGTTGGCCTTTTCTTTACAAGATAATAACTACTGTTTTGATTAATATTCTTCACTGAAGAATAGTCCACGTCACTTTCGACATACTTTTTCTGGTAATTATAGACCTTCCCAATAGTTGCCCGCCGCTGCTTTAGACGCCGCCCATATGAGCCAACTGATCTAGGTCTTTGAACTGATTGCCACCCATCATCACCACCTTCAATATATGTTTCAGAAGATATCTGATCAAAAACATTTGAATTTTGCTCTGCAACCTCTTCCACAACGTGCTGAGGTTCAACCAGAGGAGAGCTGTTCTCCTGGATAACATCTGTTCTATCACTTGGTTCAAGTACATTCGTCTCCTGACCCTCTTCGTCTGAACCCTCTTTTGTGGTTTCTTTTGAAGACTCATCAGAACTAGCTGAGCTGATAGTTTGGATGGATTTTTCCTTCAACTGCACAAAAAATTGAAATAGTTTGCTCATGTGCATGACAATGAGAATAGGGAGTGTAAAGAAAGTGTGTCCTCTAGCAGGGCATGGTATCTCTATCTGAACACTAGAAATGTTCCTTGAAATTTCACACAAAATGGTCAAAATGGGGTCGGGATAGTTCTT